AAAAAAAAAACATGCACCCATCCACTGACGCGGATGCCGAGCAGCCTCAGACGCGCTGCTGCTGAGCGAGACCAACACATCTCGGCTCGGCCGCGCCTCCTCTCTCTCAGGCACCACGCAGCGGCCCACAGCTTTTTCTTCACGCCCCTTTTCTCCACCTCGCACTGCCGTGCTGCTGGTGGGCGCTGCAAAATGCTGTAATTTCCGAGCGGCTGCAGCACGCGCCGCCGAGTCTTTTTCCTTCAGGGGTTAGAGGGTCGCTCGTGGTGCTCGCTCGAGTGCGTCAAACCGCCGCCCGTTCTTGTTCTGGCAATCAATACGAGACAGGGGCCGCAAACGTCAATTCTCTGTGCTCAAAAGACCCCGTAATCGGTCTGGCAGAGACGTCAGCCAGCAGCGGGGTCGCCACGATCTTGTACTTTCGGCTGGAGTCCCCACCTTTCGAGAGCCGAAAGATCACTCGGCTTAACACCTGAACTGACCCGCAGATTTTTATGACTAAGCCTTACCGCGCTATCACGTGACTGCCACTCTTCTGTCTCAGCAGCAAAAAAATCCGGGCTTCACTCCGCTTCAGAGAGCTCGAGGCTTCGCATCGGAAGATAGGAATTGGCCATTCAGCAGATGGTCTCGGAGCGGCTCGCCCTTCTCAGTATCACCAACGTCGGCAATCCGCCATCGCATCTATCACCACTCGTTGATCAGGGCATTGGCAGCTCTGACACACTGGACGGCACGCTTCCGCAACTCCTTTCCCACGCCATGTCGGCCCCCATCCGAAACGTGCCGCGAGTGGCATCGCGCGCATTCTCGCACTCGGCCGCACCTCAGGTCTCTCGCACCGGCTCGACGTCCTCCTCGGCCAGCACCATCGGCTCATCCGCTCCCAGCGCCGCGCGATCCAAGCACCTCAAGCGCCAGCAGCGCAGCAAGGATGATGTGCTCCGCAGAGCTGTGGAGCTCTACCACTTGACACCATCGTTCCTTCCCACAGCTCCGCGAGGCGTCCTGGCCGCATCTTTGTCCGGCAGGAGCTCGGCGCCCAGCGCATCGTCCTCCGTATGGGACGCCTCGCTCGACACCGCAATCTATGCTTCCATCCTCAACACTGACTCGGTCTCCCGCCGCTCGCCCAACCTTGTCGCACGCGGCCTGCCCGAATACTCGCGCGAACAGTCCAGCCGCGCCGCCTCGGTCCCCGCCTTTGGCAACACTGGCTCGCACTCCAGCAGCAACGCAAAGGACGTGCAGTCCTTCGTCTCGGACCTCACCAGCACCACCTTCCTCACTCGCAGGGAGAGGGAAGCAGCCGCAGCCGCAGCAAAGTCGTCCACCACAGAATCATCCTCCTCCGCCGCTGACCCATCGTCCAAGCCCAAAAAAGGCGGCCTCCGAAGCTTCAGCGATGCCGACATTGCCATGTACGAGCGAAGGCACAACAACGCCACGGGTGCAGGCGTCTCTGCCGGCCTCGACAACAGCCGCTACTCGGGCGCAGAGAGGCTCACCCACCTCGATCGCGTCACTCCCGGCGCCAACGAATGGTACAGAAGCCAAGGCCTCAACACCCGCTCCGCCCGCGTCCGTGATGCGATCTTCGGCACGGTCAACGGCGAGTTGCCCGGTCTCGAAATCGTACGTGAGAGAATCGCAAAGCTTAAGAGCCAGACGCCCTCCGAAGACAAAGACTAAGCCCACATGGGTCACGAGGTCGGCCGCTCGACTACCTTCCCGAGCCTAACTCTTATGCTGTCACGCACGCCAAGGACGTCGGCTCAAGTCCGACAACTTTACTGCAATGCCAACCTTTACTACGTCTCGACGATGGCTGTGGCCCGCCCATTATCGATGTGACTATCAGACCGCACTCGGAGCTTTTAAGCGTGTCCAGCTCCCTCCCACCCACATCGGCTGTGCCGAAAGACACAGCTGCCTGACCGTTTGACCAGCAGCACGACGCAGTTCAGCCCGGCGCTAGATCTCGACACACCGTGAGAACTGGGTCGGAAACGGGTCCGCCGACACCGCCCTCCTGGTCCTCAGTCTTGTGCTTATATATACAGCCGAGCCAGCGCCCTCTAGCACGACTCGAGCAGCTCAAAGTGCAAGCTATCGACCATCCTTGCCCACGCTAGCTCAGCGCCATTCCAGAACCTGTTCTTGCCCCGCCCTTCCTCCAAACGACAAGCAATGTCTGACGACTCCAAGTTCTCTTCGTTCGAAACTGTATCTCCGATCCGCGATCCTCGCTCCACTGATCAGCCGTCGATGCCGGCCGTTCCAATCATCCTCTTCGGCTCGCAAGGCTCCGACTTCCTCGGCGGTTTCGACGCCATATTCGTGCTCTCGCAACGCCATGCTGTGCTCTCAGCCTTCCTCTCTCTGGCGCTCGGTGCCATCCGAGACGAGCTGCGAAGCGTCGCCAATCGAAAGGCGAATGATGCCCTGCCTGGCGACATTGAGCTTCTCCCGCATCTCCCGCCGTTCGAGCCCTTCTCGGATCTAAAGTCTCTGGTCAGCCACCATCGCCACACTGGCTTGACAGATCCTGTGGTCAATGGCGTGCTGCTGAGCGTGCTTCAGACGGCCAACGTCGTAGCTGTTTTTTGCGCCGCTCATCACCAAGCAAATCTTGACGGCCATGCCTCCAGCGAGGCCAAGGCGCACCTCGTCCAGGCTTGGAAAGCCGTCGCATCGCCGAGCTCTCACTTGCTGGGCTTCTGCACCGGGGCGCTTTCCGCCTTTTCGGTCCGAAGCGTCGTGGAGGACGGCCCCTCACAGTCGCCGAGGGTCATCTGGAGCTACATTCAACACGCAGTCAAAGCGATCCGCGCATGCTTCTGGATCAGCTTGCGCTCCGCCCAAGCCCGTCATCGGCTCGTGGGCCAGGTGGACAACTCCACTCCCGTGGAGCCCTGGAGCATCGTAGTGGCAGCAAACAAACCCAACACCATGACTCAGATCTCGGCTCACGTTCGAGAGTTCAACGAGATCGAGCATGCCCGCCCACTGGACAACACAGGCCCCCTCGTCATCACCGCAATCGCCACCAATCAGGTCTCGGTCGGAGGCTGTCCTCAAAAACTGCAGCTCTTTCGGTCTGTCTTGACCAACGACCTCGGATCTGCTTGTCGAGTCTCCAGACTCGAGATCTTCGCGCCTTACCACAGCCCCAAGCTCGAACATGAAGCCTCGCTTGTCATGCTCGACTTGGAACGCAGAGGCATTCTCCATGATGCGACTTTGCCCTCGAGCGAAAAGACGATTTGGGAGACAGTCAACGCACAGGTTGCTATGGAGACAAGCGTTCGAGACATGCTCAGAACGTTGGTCGAGAGCAACCTCTGTCGGACGGCCGACTGGGATGCCATGACCAACAATTTGATCCTGCGGGAGGCAGAATTGTCCGATTCAACTTCTCCCAAGTCGTGTCTGATCGTCTCCTTTGGACCGGGCATCCATCTCGCAGCTGATCTTCGAAAGCGGCTGGGTGATCGAAACGGAGCAGGAGAAGTCACCGTAGTCGATGTCCCAACGCTTCTCCAGGAGGATGCGCTGCGAGTTCCCTGTCCGACGTTGAGTCTCACTGGAATGCCTCTTACGCAAGCCGAAGTGCACGGAGACGAAGTCGTCGTTGTCTCCATGGCATGTCGATTCCCCGGAAACGTGCGCAGTCCGGAGCAGCTTTGGACCTGTCTCGAAACGGGAAGAACGACCGTCACGGAGATTCCGAAGCATCTCTTCGACATCGAGGCCTACCACGGATCCGGCAAGAATCAGACGATGGCGACGCACATGCATGCTCTGTCAGAGGACGCGGTGCGATCCATGGATGCCCGGCTCTTCAGCATGTCTCCGAAAGAGATCGAGCAACTCGATCCTCAGCACCGTCTCGTCATGCTCTGCTCGTTCGAGGCTCTGGAGCGAGCCGGATACTCTGCAGAGGCCAATTCACCTTCTTCTTTTGACAAGAAGCGGATCGCGGTCTGCATGGGGTCCAGCTGGGACGACTATCGCGAGAATGCCAGCTGGAGCATCGGCAGCTACTTTATCACAGGCAACATCCGCGCATTCATCCCCGGCCACGTGTCCTTCTCGCTCAACATGGAGGGGCCGAGCTTGTCGGTCGACTCGCTCGAATGCTCGGCAGTGTCTGCCATACAGTGGTCGAGACGGGCGCTCCTCAGTGGCCAGTGCGACGTTGCCCTCACCGGCGCCGTGAATGTGATGACGCAGCCACAAATGTTCATTGCGATGGACAAGCAGGGCATGCTTTCTCACAGCGGCACCAACCTGACGTTCTCGTCCAAGCACGATGGAGCTACTCGAGGCGAAGGGTGCGGCATCTTGCTGCTGAAGCGCCGCTCCACCGCCATACAGGACGGGGATAACATCCTGGCAACCGTCTCGGCAGCCCGCACCGTCCACCACGGCGCCCGTGCAGAAGGAGAGAACGCGGTCGCTCAGCAATCCGAGTTTCTGGCAGAGATGCTACGCGAAGGGGGCGTAAGTCCTACGGCTCTTGCACACATCGAGGCGAGTGGCTTCCACACCCAGACCGCAGAGGCAGTGGAGATCGAATCTTTCGCACGACTTTTCGCGAGGCCTCAAGGTCCAAAGGCTCGCTCATCCGACAATCTCGTCTCCGTTGCCAGCTCCAGGCCCAATCTGGGTGCCGGAGAGGCAGTGTCGGCCATGGCATCTGTCATGAAAGCGGTGCTAATCTTGAATGAAGGCATTGTTCCCAGGCAGATCTCGATCCCTCACTTGTCCGAGCTGCAGCCTCGAATCGCCGCAACGTGCGCTAGCTCGCCTCTGTTTGTGCCGACACAGGCATACTTGCTGCCAGACGAGACAGATGATCAGAGGCGTCACGCTATCCTCGTCAACAGTCTTGCCAGCACTGGCTGCCACGGAGCGGTGCTTCTGCAGAAGCCGAAGAAACACGCACGGGTCAGATCCACTGTTCTCGAAGAACCCGTTGCGCCAGTGAAGGACGACAATCGTGCATGGATCTTTGTGCTCTCCGCCAAGACGAAGGAGTCCGCAGAGATGCTCAAGAAAGCCGTCATCGACTACCTCCAGCGCGAGGTCTGCTTGGCCGACCTGAGCTATTCCCTCGCTTGTCGCCGGACGCACCAGACGCATCGCTTGGCCATCATCGCCTCGGATCAGGACGAGCTCATCCGGAAGCTTCGTGCTGCTGCCTTCACCGAGGCGACATCAGCGTCGGATCTTCCCGACCTCGCCTTCTTTTTCGAAACGATCGACACCGCCTCTGTCGACGTCACAACGCTTGCCGATCTTCATGACCGTTGCGGTGAATTCATCTCGACGCCCAGTATGTTCAAGAGTGGCGATCCAGAGCGGTCCTCTGAAGTTCTTCAGATGTGTCTTGCCTCGCTCCTGGAGGAGTGCGGAGTCCGTCCATCCCTCGTAGCTGGACAGATCATCCCGGCCCTGCTTGCGGGAGGTTGGATCGACAAGGACAGTGCTGCAGCAGTTCTCGCAAGTGCCGACATCCAAGAAGCTCCGTCTCTTCAGGGCATTGTCCACAATGGATTTGCGAGCATTCTCACAGCAAAGGGAGAGACGATCCTTGCCGTAAGTCCTCCTGATCTTACACGATCCTCGCTGTGGGATCAGCCAGTGGACCAGACTCTCAGCAAAGAAATACTGCCGGGTGGGTATGTCTGGATCAGCATTGGCGAGCTGTTGAGCCTGATCAAGAATGTCCCGACAACGCTCGGCAGTGACGAAGCGCATCGATCTAAGGAAGGCGCGAGTCGGATCGAGTGCTCGGTCCTCCCACTGTTGGCCGATCTGTACCGACTTGGATACTCGATCCGCTGGATAGAGCTGTTCCGACCTCACTTGTCCCAGCGGCGCTTCATCGAGACGCTGCCCACCTACCCGTTTCATCTTCAGCCGTTCTGGATGGAGTACCGCGATCGCAATCTGCTCAACAGCACTACCGTCGAGAGCGAGGGCCCCTCCTCGACCACTGATCGTCCCGCGGATGCTGCTGCGAGCTCTGAAGAGATTGACGACGCAGAGGCACCAACGCAAGCTCTGTTGTCGGCCCAAGTGTCTAGCGACGAGCGTTCCAGCATCTTCATCTCGGATCTGGCCGGACAGCCGCAGTCAACGCTGCTGAAGCTCGCCAAACCTGCCGCGATCTCTGTCGAGTTGATGGTAGAGGCAGCGATGGAAGCAAGGTCTCGGGCATCTGTCTACGACCCCTCACAGCTGGCGAGGCGCTCTCTCGTCAGTGCTATGAATGTATGGCTGCCGCAAGCAGGTCATGAGCTGCTCCGAGCCAGCAACGTCGTGCTCGACGTCAGCTTCGCTTCGAAGGGCTCGGACATCACCGGAGCCCACGTTCGTATGCGCAGCAATTCGAGCTCAGCCGTGGCCGGAGAGCTCCACTACCTCTGGATTCAGGCTGCGGATGCCGAGCGACGATGGTCAAAGCTGCAAACCTTCGTGGAAAAAGCAGTCTCGGCGCTCGAAAGTGTCGGTGAAAGGCTCGATGCAAAGCTGATCTACAAGAGCCTCGGCGAGGATGGGTCCGGTACCCTCGAGACGATTCGGAGCGGCTTCCTGTCGGATGAATCCCGAGAAGTGGCGTTTGTCATCTCGGTTACCAGCGAGAATGACGCAGCCGGCGCCGACTTGCTCTGTGGCATTCC